CCTTTGTTATCCAGTTTGATGTTGGCACTGTGTCCGCACACTGGGAGTGGGGAGGGCTCAACAGGGAACAGTGGCTACCACCAGCACTTCCATACAGAGTGAGTCTTGCCTTGGCCCTCACTCTGACAACGTCTCCCTGTAAGTCCCTGGTGCCTCCTTCGTGCAGCCGAACGTGCACTGGTGCTCAGAGCAAGCAGGTCCTTATGGCGAAAATCCGCTTGTGGGCGCGGCCCCTTTAAGAGGCTTCTGCCACTGCTGCAACCTCCATCTCACTCAGCCCCTCAGGACTGGGCAGCCCCGCGTCCTCCCCCCGTCCTACCTTCTGCCATTGCAGGGTGATTTCTTATATTTCTCCCTAGTTATATGGCTTGTTCATCTAGATCCCAGGCGATTTTTCTTTGCTGTTGCTCCTTGTTTCTGTCACAACTTTGATTTGGTCGCCAGAGGGATGAACAGAGCCTCTATCATTTACGCCATTTTTTTCTCCTCTCTATAAGGGCGAATTTTTTAGTACCAATAAAAAGAGATCCCCCACATGTTAGCTACCCATTTTACCAACATATTCTTTTCCTTTTAGTCCGAGAACAGCAATGCTGGATAAATACCAAAAAGAAATGGTGTACCTCAAACAGCAGACTTTTATAGTGTTTAGAAAACATTCTGTGGTAACTCTGTGTACTAAAATTTTAGACTGAATTTACCCTTATTACTAATTTAATTTTATAAATAACAGTATAGTGTCCTTCAAATTTTATGATTTAAAGTTCGTTACATAGTTAATTTAAAGATTCTCAACTTTGGGGGGAATTATTATATCTTTTTTGCTTGATTTTGGTTAGTGATGTTTTTTGAGACGTTTATAATGTCACTTGAAATGATAGAAGACTCACCGGAGTCCCATAGAACAGAATTTTTATCTTACTGTTTTATTTACATGTCAAGGATAAAAATTCAATTAAAATACTTGAGGTTTTCCTCAGATGTGCTTCTAATATAATCTCAGCTATTTTATATACATCTTTAATTTATGCTGACAGTAGATGAAAATCATAGTTGAATGAAATTCACAGGAAATTCAGATTAAAATCCTGTGTCAGATGAAGTTTTCTGCTGAAATAAGGACGTTGGTGGATTTCTGTTCTTTACCTGCTGAAGCAATAGATGCTTAGAAGCAGGAAAATCACTGTGAGCCTGAGGCTAGTCAGTTGAACTTCTTCCTTTCAACCTGCAGGTGGCAATATCACACCAGAAATTCCTGTGACAATTGGCAATGTGAAAGCCTGCAGCCTTAAAATTGTATGATTGTATGTTGGCACCTTGTTAAAAATGAAGTAATGTATTATTTGAATTTGGATATATAAGCAGACCCCAACCTTGGTATGTCTCCAGATTTACATATATTTGAATGGCTGCCCCGGTCTTTTGCTATCCTCTGAGTGAGGTCTTTTGGGATTTCCCCTCTCTCTCCCCTCTGGCTTACTACTTACTGTAGCTTGTGTTTCTCCCTTTTAAAAATACTCACTTCTCTACTGTGCTTCAGTGTGGCATCCATCCTCTTCATAAGGGAGAGGGACCTGGAGTTAAAAAAGAGGAGGAGAGAGTTAGTGCTGAAACAGATCTGGACCTTACTTCCATCTCTATTGCAGCAACTATCACAAACATCGCTGTGTATTTTTCCTCTTGTTTTATTGACTCTATGTCTATCACTATTGTCAACAATGAAGACTTTGGGAAAAACCCCAAAAGTTGTTTACTTGCCTTGGGCACAAGGAACACAAGAAAAATTCTGAGACTAGGTTCTATTCTATTTCTATCTTTGAGGAACCAGGGAAGGGAGCAAGTGAGACTGAACACAAACAAAAAGTTGTAGGGACAAAAAAGGAGCAGACAGCCTAGAAGAAAGGAATAGGGCGGGTAGGGGAAATAGCTGATCTTTTTCTAGCTGTTCCAGGTAGAGTTATCATTTAAAGTAGAAGTTTATGCAAAGATTCCACAGAAACACAGTTACACAAGAGGATTAAGTTCTATAGTGATATTATAATGTAAGATAGTTTTTTTGAGCTTTCCAGCCCAACCCAGAACATACTAAAGCCCCCATCCACCACGAAGTCTATGAGATAAATGTATGCTGACTTTCAAACATTTATACATTGAGAAATGCTTCTGTTGTATCACATCACATATACAGAACATGTCAAGCTTGATAAGCAAGTCTTAACTCGCTGGCATTTCAAACAGGCTGTATACAATTTAAAAAAATGCATTTTAAAGACAGATTGTTCTTTGGTATAACAATATATATTTGAATATTATATTTGTGTACACTGACATTTATGTATTAAATTTATTTGGTTAAGTAAAATGTATCTTTCAGGATCTATTTATCATAATGGGCGGTAGCTTTATAAGACAGTTTTGTTCTTTTGCTGCACTAGTAAAATGTTCTTTTCTTCCCAATAACCAGTGACCTCATGTTATATTGAAAAATTAAAAAAAAACTTTTATAATATTTAACAAGCCCAGAAGTTAGAATGCTGCATGAAAAGTAATAACAGCATGCACATTAGCAGTTTTAATTGTTGTAGCCCTTGTTGTACTAGAGTAGAACATTGAGGATGCAAGCAGTTAGTTATGAAAAGAAAAAAGTAAGACCTGTTTACCAAATTTAAAAATCAGCAAGGTGATTTTCTCTAAATTACATTTCTACTCAAATGCACTCTCCAAATTCAAGTTATTTTCTTAATTATATTTCATATGAGATGAATTTTTAAATCTCTGTACACTTTATGCTCTTGGTTAGAAATTAAACATCGACTGAATTTTCATTAAGCTGGAAATCCAGTTTAATGGTAGCTTTTAAAGATGTGATTTTAGCAAGATATTTGCCTTGGAATAATAATTATAGTAATAAAAATGCATCTACTAAGTACTTTAGAATTTATAAAATACGTTCCTGTACAGAGGCAGTGTAGTGTCATGGAAAGACCTGAGGCTTTGACGTCAGATCTGGGTATAAACCCCAACTTAGCCATGTACTTGCTGTTACTCACCCCTCATGAGTCTCAAGTTTCTCATCCGTAAAATGAGGGTAACACGTGTGTTGAAATGTGAATATTAAACAAGAACAAATGCATGCAAAGATCTTAGCATGAAACAATAGCCTTATAAACCTCAAGCATTTGATCTTCACAGTTTTAGTAGGAAGTAGGTTTTATCTCTATTTTACAGATGAGGCAGCTGAGGCTAGGTCACTGATCCAGGGTCATCAAATCTGTTTTATGACTCCAAGTCAGAGCACTTCCCTCAGCCGCTTCTGGAGCAAGACTGCAACACCTGCTAAAATAACATCGATTATTAAATGTGACCACTCAGTTGATATCTGATCTCAGCCCTTTTCCCCTCTGATATACAAGTGATGCTCAAAGCTAGTACGTAAAATGAAATGCCATCTCTTTCTCTCCTGCTAACAAAACCCAAGGAGGGAGAGAGTCTATTAATAGAAATTAATATAACCTATGATACATCCTATTCTCACCACCCAATATTTAATACTGATAGCAAGTTTCTTTGAACACATTTCCTAACTTATTGCAATACACCATAGTTGGGAACCACTGCATAAGATGAGTTCTAGGGAGAATAAGTACGACATTTTGTAATTGAGATCTTCTGTTGGAAAATGATGAGAAAGATTGGTGGAGCTAGTAGGAGTCTAAAAAGTTAAGACTTGATCTCATAGGTAATCAGAGGTTCTTGAGTAGGAAAGCAACGAGTTTAAAGTGGTGGTCTGCAGTATGGTTCAGAAATGAAAAAGCCTGGAAATCCGAGAGACCAGTTGGATTATTGAAGTGAACCAGATAAGATGAGAAGGCCTAAACTAAGGCAGTGGCAGTGGCAGTGGGAATGAAAAGGAATAAACAGATACAAGAAGACTAGTGACTGATTGTGTATGCATGGGCAATGAAGGAGGTAAAGGGGTCAAGTGATAAGCAGAAGGTTCAAAATATGCTTTCAGGCAATAGGTGTCCTTTAATTGTATTTTGTGGAAATGTATATTAAAATGATCTTCCAGCCTCAGGACTCAATATCTGTTGGTGGAAAGGAAATAATATACAGGATGCTAAAGGGCAGAGAAAGCACAAACTTAGAATTAGATATTTATAGGACATAGTTATCTTTTTTCATTTTCTACCAAATTGTTTGGGTATCTTGCTATACTGGTTTCAGATCCTAGGCTGAGTGACTTTGTAATTAGTCACATAAACAGGCTGCTATCTGAATTTAGGACTTGTTCTGGAACATTACAAGTGGGTTCCCCAGTGATAGGGAGCACTTGGTGAGTTGCGACACTTGGCATCTGACCAGCAAATAACTAGAATGTTTGAAGTGACTCAGAATTTTTTTTTTTAAAACCTGACATTGAGGTCACCTGATAGACTGTATGTCCTATGCCCATGATGTGGGCTCCATATGGGCGAGGATTTTGTTTTGTTCACTGTTGTATCCCCAGCAGAGAATGGAGCCTGTCCCTTAGTAGATACAATCATTGTTAGATGAGTAAATGAAGCCAGCCATCATGAGTGTCTGGCTCACCACTGTAGCCTCGGTGCTGCGCACAGTGCTGATTGCATAGGAGGAACTGAATAAAGGTTTACTGAATTGAGTTAAAATGAATTGGACAGCATTTGGACTAGTGAAACAAAATTTTATTTGGTTTTATGTTCTGTGAAAGACAATAAAATAATGTTCAGTTGGTAATTCTTTACATGGAATATTAAGCAGTAACAGAACTGTATTTGTTATTTTGCTAGTGATGATCTAGAGCAATTTATGGAAAATCAAGGCGCATCCAGCCCAGGTATCCTCATTTTAACAACAAGCCTCAGCAAACCATTCATGCGACTGGAGAAGTATGTTACTCTCTTGCAAGAGTTGGAACGGCATATGGAGGTAAGGGAAGGCACGCTTTTTAAAGCTCAGGTACAAAGTATAGATCTCTGCTTTGGAAGAAGCTGCCAGTTTGCCTCCAAGCTAGCCTTGCTGAAGAGTTCAGAAAAAGCCTTGATTTCCAAATTTACTTAATCCAATCTTCCCTCTTCTCAGGCTTTTACTTTTCCTCAGCATGCGGCAAAATAAGAAGATGTTGTTTTTTTTTTCCTCTGAAGATTTTTTACTTTTTATGTGTTTTTATTTATTTTTTCCAGCTTTATTGAAATATGATTGACCAATAATATATATCAATATATTTTTTATATATCAAAATATATATAAAAGTAATAATACAAATAAAAATTGTATATATTTAGGTTATACAACATGATATTTTAAGGTATATAATGTGATAATTTAATATAACATATACATTGTGGAATGATTACCACAATCAAGTTAATTAACAATCCATCACCTCACATAGTTACCTTTTTTTTTTTATAAGAACACTTAAGATCTACTTTATTATCAAAAATATACAGTATAGGGTTATAAACTATGATCACCATTAACTTGTTTATCTTATAATGGAAAGATCCCCATCCTTTACTATTAGATATTTATGATCACTCTTCCTTCTTTAGTCCTCCCAGCCTCAGTCCTGTTGCTTCTGTCAAGTCTCTGCTAGCTTGTTGATTTAGGTTTTCTTCTGCCTTCTCATCTGTAGATAGTGGTTCAATCAAAATCAACCAAGAAATCTATTCTGGTATATGAACCAACTTTATTGTGGGAGATAAACAAAACAAAACAACATTAGAAAATATAAAGACCATTTTACTATAGACAGGAAAATTTAGCTCTAGAGCTCTGTGGTCATTCAGCTTTCTGACTCTGGATTACAATGGAAGTTTCTGATATTTTCTTAAAGATTAATTAATAGGTCTAATATTAGTTTATCTCTCTATGCATCTATACATTTACATCAAAATTTTTGCTTACAAAGTTACAGTTAACTTCCAACAGCTGTAGCATAGCTATAATCTTTTCTAAATATGAAAATTTCATCGAGGCCTTATAATTTAATATTTTTTCATCAAGAGACCAGATCCTCTTATTAAAAACCAATCAACATGGAGAGTTTCTTGAGCCATTCTTGTGCAATTGAACATGGGGTTTGAGGTGTGGGTGGGAGAGGAGGGCCTACTGGGGGAGGCTGCATTTACCCTACTTGCTCTTCCTGTGTCTGGGGAAAGGTTTTGAGGTTTTAAAGGGTTAGATTATCTTTAAAAAAAAAAAAAAGGTTGCACACTGATGGTCTTGTCAGCATTTGTAAGGATTGAAAGCATGAACTCTGAGCGAAACTACATTCTCAGGTTATTTGACCTGCCAGAAAGCTGGAGGCAGTGGGGAGCTAGTTAGTAAAGCCTGCAGGAATAAAATTTCAGTTAAGGCTTGGGAAGATGTTGACCTCTGGATGCCTTTCCAAAAGCTAAACCAGTTCACTGAAGCATTTGAAGTTTGCCTCTCCTTGTTTATCAGAAAAATCCAGAAATAAGTGGCCTAAGTTTCTGTTACTGCTCAGTGCTGAACTATGAATATACACTTAATTTGAGGAGGAAAATCCCCAAATGTTTCCATTGCCTGGATCTTCTTTCTTAGCCTTCCTTGTATTGGAGCCCATTTCTACTCCTGCCTCCATTTGCTGTTGGTTACCTGCCTTTAGCTGCCTTCCATTTCCCACCATCAGATAATACATACCCTTAGCACTCGTTCATCATCTGGTGAGGCACTTGATCCAGTTTTCTGATTGTTTAGCACGGCTTCTGGCTAATGGTACATTAGAACCTGAACTTTACAGCTATCAACTGATTTGGGTAAGGATAAATTTAACTATAAAAGAATAGAACCCTCTTTTTATAAGCAATACTGTTCTTGGCTTGAGTCAGACCACTAGTCTGTTTAGCTCTTTATTTAATCACCCAACGCTGGTCAAGCAGCACATATTGCCTCCTCATTATTCCCACTGAATTCTCAAATTTAGGTACATAACTACACCCCGATGCTCCAATGTTAGGTGGATACCTACCCCCAAGAAGCTCTACTTTCCCTTCATAAACAGTAATGTAGGTGTGCATACCTCAAAGCCACTTTTCAACCTGTCCACTTTTCAGGGTTGTAAGTACCATAGAATTGCAGATTATATGTAATAATCTTGCTTAAGAAGAAGCATATAGTATAAAACTTGAAATTTCTTCCCATCTGCCCTATTGAATCTGCCAAAAGAAAGTAGAGGCATTTTAGATGAGATTGGATTGATTTTTCTCTAACTACCACTCTGTTTTCATAATTTCCAACCTCTTGTCATTTGGTAACAACATGACTAATGATGCCTTCCAAATAATTATTATTTATTATCTAAAGTATAACAGCGAAAGAAAATGGGAACTTGTGCCTCAATAACCACACCTATGTTGTTACCCAATATGTGATGTGTTATCAGCAGTCTTAATTCTTAATCACCTAACAGTTGGAGGTGCTGAGATTCTAAATGCTCAAATGCTGTTTTATTTTTTAATCTTTAAATTAGCATACAGTAAAATTGACTTTTCTTTTGGTGTACAGTTCTATGACTTTTAACGCATGTGTAGATTCATGTTACCACCACCACAATTGAGATATGGAACAGTTGCATCATCCCTTAAAATTTCCTCTCTTTGCAGATACACCCTCATCCCACCCCTAACTCCTGGCAACTGCTAATCTGTTCTCCTTTAATATTGTTTTAAAATGTATTCCTTTAATAGGATACGCATCCAGATCATCAGGATATTCTGAAAGCAATCATAGCATTCAAAACTCTCATGGTAGGTGATGCTCTAAAATTATTTCTCCATTTTTATACTTTGTTCCTAAAAGAATGATTTGTGTGTAACATTTCTTTCCTTATGCAAAGGTCTTTAGAGTGGAAAAGGTTCTAGTGACAGTATCGCAGTGATTGTTTTATTTAATTTTGTCTTCCAAAAATCATGCTTACTTATGAAAGGTTGCCAGACTGAAGGATAAAGCACTCACATTTGAAGTCTCTGCCACATTAAGCATTGCTGTGTAGGTGGGGGGTTTCCTTTAGTCTCTTTGTCTTTACCCCTGTGTTGCTCACTTTATGTCAGTGCAACTTGTTCACTGATTGGCATCAATACAGGATTAATCTACTTATGCCATAGAGTGCGAGTTTATTATTTGCATATGAAAAAGAAATCCTTCATTAAATCTGAAAGGAAAAAAGACCTACTAAAATACAATGCTCTCTATAGATTGCTATCAAAGGTACCTGTAATCTTGTATCTTGAGCATCATGGTTAATGTTTTCTTGAACCAACTGGTATAAAATCACTTGGTGGTATTTTAGGAGGAAAGAAAATGTCATTTTGGGTGATTGATTAAGTTTAGCTTCAATTTAGACATTTCTGTAGCATTCCAAGTGATTGGAATCAATGTTTATTGATTCTTGCTGTAATGTTGTGATGCAACATTCACCATCACCTTGTTTTTATTGCTGTTAAAGAACCAGTACATGACATGTCCATGGTTAAATAGCAAATTGAAGTCCAGAGTAGGATATTAGTTTAATATTGCTGTTGTAGATCAAGAACAGTCGAATGTTGGCAGTTTCACGTGGTTCAATGCATGAAACCCAGGGCATTTACTATCATTTGTGTCCCTTTTATTTTTTCTATGTAAATTGAATATAAAATCCTCTTTTCTAAAACTATATTTCTTTCTGATCATTTTACATGTTGTAAAACTTGTTTTGATGGTTATAGTATATTTATTTCTACTATAGATGCTTCAAAAATATCTGCATAATGAATTTATTTCTTCAAGTTTCTATTTAGCTAAAAGGGGCAGCAGAGATTTTATAAAAAACACATCCCCCAAAACTGTGACATTCATTTAGAAACAGTGACATAACTAACCAAATGTTTATTTTCATATTCAATTTGGAATCAATACTGTTAAATTACTCTAAGATAACGTCACACTTTCTGAAGCAGTGGAGGGTGTGTGTGTGTGTGGTATTCATACCTCAGATATTGTTTCTTAGTTTGTATTTTCAGTTTGTATTCATGAAATTCAGTTGTATCTTTTTTTTTTATAGTCCTTTTAGGAATAAAAATTAATTTAGTCTTCTTAATAGAATTTACTACTAGTCCCTAAACGAAGTATAGGACAGTGCATATGTATCATTATGAGATCAATTTGATTTACTGTGGCATAAGGAATTTAATTTTCTCTTTTTCTGTAACTGCTAGAGTTTTTTTTTAAAGATATTATTTAATTGGAAACTGAGCGTATGTTAGAAACATAAAATTGCTTTGTAAATAAATCACTGTTTATGCAGATAGACGAAATGGAGAATAGCTAGAGCAGGGACACCAACCAGCAGATCTGAATCTACCAGTTGCTTTCCTTGCTCTGGCTGAAGTGATTCTGCTACTTGTCTACCCATGCTCCTTGCAGAGAAGGAGAAGCAAGGCCCTTCTACCACTTCATCTTGATGTTTTGGCAAAATGAAAAGTAGCTCTTCCTCACAAAACTTTTGGGGGCTCACGGCTAGAGATTTAGTGTAGTGGATCTTCATGTCTGTCAGTACATCAGTGATCGGATTCTTGGTGAGGAATAGAACTCAGTGAACATTTGTGAAAGTCAAAAGCCACATCTTAACTTTGGTCTTGTTTTAGGTCTGTTTCATAAGAATTCCTATCTCATTATGTGCTGCTTTGGGTTCTGTAGGGGCAGTGCCAAGATTTAAGAAAGAGAAAACAGCTGGAGTTGCAGATACTATCTGAACCTATTCAGGCATGGGAAGGCGAGGATATTAAAACCTTGGGAAATGTGATTTTTATGTCACAAGTAATGGTGCAGTATGGAACATGTGAGGTAAGATGTTTCAAATCTCAACACCATTTTTTCCATCTTTCACATTTTTCTTTATCTGTTCTTCCATCAAGGTCAAATGCTCAAATATTCAAAGAAACTGAGTGCTTATTCTTTTCCCAACACTGCTAGGTTCTATGGGAGATAAAAGGAAAGAATGCAGTGATCCCTGCCTTCAGAGAACTCCTTAACTACAGATTAAATCACAAGCTTCAAGTAGAAAACAAACCAAAATTGTCAATGTCAGTTTGTGCAATCTCGATAATAGATTCCATAGAAGTTCAGAGAAGGGAGAGAGCAAGAAGATTTTATGAAAATAAAACTTGAGAAGGAGGGCCATGAAGAGAAAAGCGGAGAATTTCATAAGGCAGAGCTCATTCTTATTTCAGGAGAGAACAGGAACATAGCCTTTTTTTTCTGTAAAACATTAAGAAGCCAGTGTGTTGAGAGCAGAGGAAGCATGTTAGGCAGAGTGAAAGAAAATATGATTGAGTCAGAGTCAGGTTATGAAGAACCTTGGATGTCAGGCAAGAGTAGTTCAGATTGATGCAGCAGGCAATAGAAAACTATGAGTCCTGAGTAGTAGAGAAAGACAATGAAAATGGTGTTTATGACACTTAATCTGACAACCATATATGTCAGATAAACTGGAGGGGATGGGGCTAGAAACAGAAAGGTTAGCTGAGTTGGAAAGTGATAAGTACTCTTGATGAAGGTAGTGGTGGAGAGAATGAAACTTAAGGGGCAAATCTGAGACATGTTTAGAAGGGTAAGTCTATAGGAATTTGTGACCTATGGGCTAGAGATGACAGATGCAATTTTAGACCTGTTAATATTCGAGTGACTGTAGGTATCCCAATGAAGATGTTTGTAGGCAGCTGTTAAAACAGTGTAGAAATGTAGGTGGGAGACAGAGTTAAAGGCAGAGATTTAGATGTCCCTGACAGATGGGCCTTCCTAGGAAGTAAATATCCAGAGAGAAGCACAGAGGGCTGAAGATGGATTATATCTTTTAGAAAGGGGGGGGGGTGAGAGGGGAGGAAGATTGATTATTTCAATTGGTATGATTTATCAGGTGTTAGGATTGTCTTTCTCCTCACAAAACATCTTCCTATATTCCATGACAGGTCTCTGTTAGATTCATTACATTTGGGTTAAGAAGTAATCTTATTTAAAATGTAGATTCCTTGAGGAAGGTTAATGCAGAGAGTTTAACTATTAATCTCACACCTTTGGGATAAACCTCTTTGGTGAAGGGAAGAGGAATCAGTGCCAGAAAGAAAAGAGGAAGAGGAAGATTAGAAGAGAATTGGGGGAGTATGTTGTCCTGGAAATTCCAGTAGGAGCATTTGAAAGTAGTCAGCCCATTGAGCGCTGCTGAAGGTTCAGAGGTCAAGGAACATGAAGACCAAGAAGAAGCCATTGGATTTCACTAGAAGGCAGTTATCGATGACTTTGAGAAAACGGTGAGGGTCAGCAGGGAGGGATCCATGGAGAGAAAATGAAGGCATCAAGAAATATGGCAATAAATGTCAAGAAATAGGATATTTTGTATGAGGAGTCACAGGGACAAGTGAAGGCCTGTTAGGATAGGAGATGTGCATATGTTAAAGGCAAAAGAGAAAAAGCTAGTTGAACAGGAAAGGCTGCTGGAAGAAGGAGGAGGAGATGAGATGTCTGTAGAAGGAAGCCAAGCAAGAGAAAAATGCCAAAGGATACAGAGCACTTGTCAAAAGAGTTATCCTCAAAAGGTTGCTCTTCTCAAGTGAGAGGAGGAAGATGGAGATAAGTATAAGGATAATAGTAGCTAAGATGGTTAGACATGTAAGCTGAATGTAATTTTTGCATCTCCTAATTGCATATCTGTTTAAGGAGTTCAGAAGTCCTTATATATAAAATTTTCTTTAGTGCCATTAAAAAAAAAGTATTTACTTTGTTTTACATGGATATAATAACTATCTTGTTCTTATTGATTAAAAGTAATTTTATAAATAAGAATTTAACATGTTAGAGCATAATAAATTTCCTATCAACCTAAAAACCCTTTATTTTGCTGTTTTTCAAAGTAAAGTCATTTTCTTTTTGTGAGCCTACAGAATTATCTTGTGCTCTGGCTATAGCTTGGACAGGAAGGCATTAACTGTGAATTCTCAGGCTTACATACTTGGGAAACAAGCATGGTCATTTGTATTTAACTGTTATGTATAGGAAGGAGGGATAAACTGTGGGTTTATATGCATTTCAAAGTAAAATTCAACTAGTTCTGTGCTTTAAAATAGGGTATCTTTCAGAAAAAAATCACTGCCCATGTTTCATTGCCTTATTTAAGACCTATATTGCAAAACAGTGATTCCAGTAATTCTTAACAAACAAAACATCCAATTTC